TTTCAATGTACTCGCTAATCACAATAATAATAATAATAATAATAATAATAATAATAATAATAATAATAATAATAATAATAATAATAATAATAATAATAATAATAATAACCTACGTAGTTTCGTCTTTTAATGTTGTGGCTTTCTTTTGCCATGGCTTTTAGCATATCACGAATGTTTTCGCAACTTATCAGTAGACTATCACTGGAATCCTTCTATAGATTAGATTTCCTCTCTGTTTTGATTACTGAACTCCCTAGTTTGTTTATTAATAAAAACAAGTAATCCCGTGAAATTAATATTTTACTAAGTATTCAATATTGATGCTAAATCTGTTGCTTTTAAAGAACCTAAGTCGGTAAAAGTATTCAGTCAACAAACCAAACATACACCTCCTCTCACGTAAATGGATGGTCCCATTCCGGTGATATTTTAGTGAAGTCATTTTTTCACAGCTGTACACCCGATAAAATATATTATTTTCTCTACTTGTGTCTTTTTTTCCTATAAAAATAATAACTAATTAGGTTGACACAAATCATCTGGATACAAAGTTTACATGAGTTTGTAGCCGATGTTTAAATATTTTAATTTAGTGAAATGGGTTTTAAAGAGATAAGTTTAGTTTGTGAGTTTCATTCGTCAAAGAATAGTCTCATTTGGGATGCTATTGAAAATGGAAGACTGCTGGACAGTTGTTTCATCTTAATATAAGTCTCCTCAACAATGTAAAACTATAGAACCTTCAAGTTTTGTGGAAAGTGCTTGACCATTTGGTTGGTGTCCAGTAATATACCTATAACTTTAGTCAACTTATTATATATCGAGATGATCATCTGATTCCAGTGATGACAGGTGTTTTACTCCTGACTCATCAGAACTATCTGACAGAACTTCTCATTAGAACTTCAGGAGCACCTTAAAATAAATCACTGATGAACTGAATATTGTAGCTTTGATTGAAGGGGTCCCATATTAGTATGAAACAGCTATCCAATGCTCCCTGTTTTTCAACAGTACCCTAACTGAGATTAATTTCTGATGAATACAATACACATAATTTACTTAACATCTTTATTCAGAACGTATTTTCACAAACAGCATATATATACTCTAGTTTTTATTTATCTACCATGTTGTCTGTAGTTTCATTAAATTACAAATATTTGTGTATAATCACCCATTTCATACAACACATGACTGAAGTTAGATATGTACACAATTGGATCTATAGGTTCAGATTTTTCATATATGATTGAAGTTCGTGGGATTTATGCCCGGACGAGGGCTAGTAGATGGGCACTGTTGAGGAGTCCCGCAGTACGACGAAACGGCTGTTTGGTGCTTCCAGATTTTCAGTGGTGGTCTATCTAAGATAAGTTTGTGATTCAACCTATCCAAAAGCATTCTGTTAATGCCATGTAAAATCATCGCGAAATTTATTTCTGTTAACAAATGGTAACTTGAATACTTTCTTTCATTTCGACCATGATAAACAATGAAAATTATATTTAAAAAATTCGTTAGCATGACATATCGACAGAACTACTTTACTTCTTGTTCTGATTTAGGAAGAGTTGAATAATTTCCAAAGTATACTGGGTAACGAAAGAGCTTAGCATAGATACTGCTGTAGTGAACGAGAGCACAAATAGGGACAATCAAGTGTATTTCGAAAAACTACAGAACCTCTTGGTAAAATCTAGGAACCATACAGTAAATATTTCATTTGAAAAATGTCAATCAATTGTCTCGGAGTTAACTGTTCCTTCGTTTTGATATCAATCTCTCTCCGTTCCCGTTCTCTTCTCTCAATCTGCCACCGGGCATTCCACCTTCGATTGGTGATACATACTACTTATATCTGTCGACATCAGTAACACACTACGTGTTTATGGCTAGTAATATGTTACTGAATAGATTAGTTTTATGATTTTTTCCAACTTCTAACTTCAACAGTAACCCTCACAAACATAAGAAAGAAATATCACTATATCTCATATGACTTTAAGTTCATTCATATTCATTGCATTTTCCGATTCATAGATGAGTGTTTTTCGAAATACATAATGATAGTTTCTTCATTAAAATTGGGCATTCGCACACGTTACATATCCTGATTTGATATGCTGAGATAAATATCGTTTTATAACGTTTCATACATTATGACCTTGGTGTTGCTTTCTCGATCCTCTGTAGTATGAAAGTGTACCTTCCGAAAACTAATGAATTATTTAGTTATTACTACTATCAATAATAAAAGGAAAGAATCAACAGTCAATCATCGCCATTCTTATTTTGTATTTAATTGATAATCAAAGCAATCAAGAAAAATAGACATCCTCTTTAAAAAAGCAGATCAGTACGGACCATCGAAGTTACAACATAATGCTAAGGCGATCAAAAGATTACTTAATAATTTGTTAATAATGTTTAACTATCATTAATAATGTTAACCACAATTGCATTTTTACTAGCTCCGTTTTTCATACGAACTTGGCTCCTTTCTAAATGGTTTCCAATTGAAAGTCATGCGTCATTCGTCTTCTTCCTGTATTGAAGGAGAATTATCCAGGTGTTCTATGCCAGTTGCCCTTATCGAGTAAGCAACAAGATTGGCTCAATCGTTCCTTTATAAGCAAACATTCGGGACTGAAAATCAAAAGACGGAAAGGTCTCAATTACATGATACTCGATACACTGATACAAATATCTTGCTGTTATACTTTTGACCATTTCATTCATTTCGGCTAAAATGCTAGTCTTTATCCATGTTATCCATGCTCATAACTTAACTAAGATGGGAAGCTGCGACTAGTGTAGTTAATCATTTTAATTGTACGAAAATAAATAACTCATGTATTATGTTGGTAAAGTATTGTCAGTTGGTTAGTAAGTTATGATCAACACAGAGCTTGGGACAAGTATCTGTTAGCTCAAGTTGTCATGCCGCATACTAGCCAAATAAGATAAAAATGGGATGATGCATGGTGGAAACGATCGATAATAATGTTATAGTGATGATAACGATAGAGACTAAACATTGAGAATATGGTTCGCAAAAGCAGAATGACAAGATTTATGTAGAGGAATGAAAAATGAAGTTCAAGATATAGTATAAGATAAATAGCGAATGTATCTACGCTAACGTGAACGATTATCAGCCATATCATTCAACGTCTCCAACCACTGGTCTTGGCAATTTCATGGATCCTAATCCTATGATCTGCATCCACAAACATGGGTCGGATCAACAGTCAGTTATTTCATGAACTGATGACGAGTTTTTAGTTAGGTAACCCCTAGTTTCCTTCGAACTTATTTCTACATCGTTAATACAGCATATCGACGTAGGTGGTGGTAAGGTAAGCGTAACACATGTCCCAACCAGCTTATAAAAAGAAAATTCACAGCCTAATCGATCGATAAGCACCACATTATACCATAAAGAGACTGAAGTTAAACTGTAGACCGACTGTATCAAAATGCAATAGCTTAATGACATTTTGCTAACAGCGGAATCCAAATCTTTGGGTTCGAGATCCCAATGTGAAGTCATTAATGAATATTGCGGAAATAATGACGTGAATTTTGTGTTAGCTGTTTAATCTTCCGTACATTACAGTCGTTTCCCAATTTATGCTACGCTATGGCAAATAACCAAATCATTTACAGAATACATCTTCAGACTAGAATCTAAGTATTTCCACTTTATTAATAAGATTTTTCTTAGGTTTTTTCATTTTCTACAAATGAAGATACGATGTCCTAGAAGTCAACCGTCTTCTTTGTTTTATTTTTATCCTGTTAATCTAAATCTTCATAAAATCAAGGATTTTTGTAGTTCTCTGAATTTCGACTCAGATATTAGAATTGAATAAGATACATGATTAGTGTGTCATAAAAAAACTCGATTATCGTTAAAATTAAGCTAACAACAAGTTCACTAGTCCTTATACTGAATGTGGTGAAATTTATTGGAATCTAGATGGGTTGAAGTTTCTAACTTCCTACTCTATTGTTACTAATATGTAATAATTTACAATGACATGTAGAAAGTTTCAGATGAATCGAAAAATAAGTCAAGCCCTGGTACGGCCGAGAGTGTGAAGAGTCCACTCTCCTTCTCGAAATGCTCTCACATGGCCACACATATATAGCCTCTGTCAGGGAAGACCCACTCAATGTCTTCTCGTGGCGGGAGTGTTGTTTACGAAACTGAGAGGACGAAAAGCGAATGTCCGGCGCTTTAACCGGATTCCAAACCAATGGTGCATATGGGCTCCAGTATCCTGAGGGAACAAATGGTGTATGAACCAATTGTTGGTCACCAGCTTCCATCGGACTGCATCACCCTACGTTGCTCCACTGCCTTGTTATCAAATTTTCAGGTCGAAGGCTTGGGGTGCGGCCCCCTAAGAAAACCACGTGCTTCGGTTTGGACACCCGAACAGTATCACAGCCCTCACACATATCGAATGGGATTTGTGTGGCGCATATGTATTTGGTGCTTCCTTGTACCAATATCTATATGTTAAAGTAAATAATAAATAAATAAATACAAACCAATAAATATTTCTTTTAGAAATGTTATTATTTTTACCCTCAATGGTTCCTATCTTAATTTCATTCACTGTTATTGCAGGGGAATTCCATATTGTAACCCCAACAACAAAAAATACACTTCAGCAGACAAGTTAAAAGCATTTTCCTATACTTATGAACTATAAGACAATTAAATTAATTAATATCCTTGACTAGTCATTTTACTTGCCCAATCATGATACTTTCCGAAGGTTAAATAACATCAGACCAGATATCTGCTCAGCCCATTCAAACTATTCGGGGGTGGATATAATTGGATTGGTTAAGCGGGTGAAAAAATGATTGGTTAAATTCAACAACAACAACAGCAACAACAAAAAAATTGTGGGAGCCTGGATATATCCAATGTAAGTTTATGGCACGTGTGCTAAGTGTGTTTGTTTGTATCCATCTATCTATATATATATACATACATACATACATTTATATTATGGTAAGTGAAATTGTTTACAAAATTAAAGAATGAACACACAATTATAAATGGAACTATATTTAAACTCTAAGCAAAGGTAGTTAGTTTAGTAGACACACTTATTATCGACATGTTTATATATATATATAGATATATAATGAGACCATTGAATTAGCAGCACTAATTGTGTATATATGTCATGCTTTTGAGTTGATGTCTGGATTGGTTGTCAAAATTACAACAACAACAAAAAAACAACAACAACATTCTAATTTACTTAGCCTTGGCAAAATTTAGGTCATTTATCTGGTCTTATATATATATAGATGTGTGTGTATGGTTAGTTGTATAGTTGTCAACAGTTTAAACTTAAGCACACGTTATGCAATATTCATTTTGATTCATGGAAAGAACAAACAAACAATAAACATTATTATTATTATTATTACTAATCCAGGTTTATAATATAAAATATTAGAACATATGATACTAAACCACAGTTTAATTGTGGTGTGTTGTTGTGTGTCATGAGTCATCATTATTCAATGCAATCACAATTTCTATCATCGTCATCATCATCATCATCCTTATTATTAACAGACAGATCAAATATTACTCATTCTAATACTGATCTAATTATGGGAAATACTGTACCGTCCTCTTTTCTTGAAATGAATTTAACCCAAACAGCAAATGGTTTATTAAATAATAATAATGATGTGGATTTGAATCGTCAAACTCGTGTAAATTTAACAGATGATAATTCACAATGTAAATCACCTATATGGATACCACCTGTTACACCATATACATTACTTGGTTTATTAAAACCTCATTTAACACAATCTAATTTACTTGTTAATAACAATACAACACATCAAATACAACAACAAACAAATAATGGAACAATGATCAATACAAAATTATGTGAAGATTCAATAGGACATCAACAATTTCAACAACAACAACAGTCTAGTTTAAAACAATCACAACAGCAAATTTCATCAATGTCTGCTTATCTTTCAGAACTTTTGAATCAATCTCAAACATCGATAACAACAACGACTAGTGGAAAGAATTCAGTACATGGTGAGTTCAAATTGTTATAGTATTTATTTATATTTATGTTGACATGTAATTAAAATCACATAAAGTTCAAACATTTTGTCATGTACATAGTAGATGATTGTTACATTATTAAAGCTTTCACTAAAGGTTTCATATAAATTTATCTACCTACAAATGTCTTTCATGAACACACTACTGTAGAGCGCATACCAACATTCCAAATAAGAAAAAAAAGAGTAAATAGAATGAAAGTTAGAGCTTGTAATGATGTTTTCAATGAAATTTATGCTCTTATATACAATATTTACTCAATAAGTAGATGAATAAAAAGATCCCTGAAAATGCTCGATACTTCATGTATATTGAAGATTGAAAGAACAAAACACGCTGCAAAACCATACAGATATGTACTATATCTCCTTATTGTGTTAAGTTGTAACAATCCTCATGTACTTTATAAGTTGTATTCTGATAGATTATAAAGTGATATTGTGCTTATTTATAAAAACAGTGTCATTCGACAAACAATTAATATCTATAGATAAATAGAAAGAGAGAGCGAGAGTCCTAGCTGCAAGTTGTGTTATTCATCTCAACAGTAAACCAGAGAAATCATCCATCAGCTTCCAAGGTATATAACACAGTGATAAAATCATTATGGGCGTAGATCTAAGTAAACTTTCATTTGGCTTTTTTCTTTCAGTTATTTACCCATACACACCATAACAAATACTCATTTTATTTTTGAACTGATGTATCTTAGTCGGAATTGGATGGATAGAATATGACCAATATATTATCATCTATAGATTAGTCTATATAATTTTAAGTTACATCAATAATATAGAAGTTTTAAATTGTTCAGTATAGGGAAATGTAAAAGGTTACTTTTAGGTTGTATATTTCCATGAATTATACACTATTCTTTCTGAATTATTTTCTCTTCCAAGTATTTTGATTGATTCTAAGATGATTTGTAGTGGGTTTTTTGTTGAATAGTTTTTTCGACATTAAAAGACTATAGTTGGTTTTAGCATCGAATGTTTTCTGAGATTTTCAATATTCATAAGCTTTATTATATTCATAGCTTCACTTCGCTATCTAGATTGTAAATAAGTTGATGTAAAGCTACAGTTTGTCAAACTAATCTTATGTATTTTATCGGAATTATAGAGAGAGCTTTAGGGATCTTGGTAACAGTATGTACGATATTAGAATTAATGACCAGATAGTATATTTATATAGAATTTATCTCGTTATTTGATTAGTAAAGTGAGTTTAGATCATCAGTTCAAATGTTTTGGTCGTATTTTGTTTGTAAGGTCTCAGTGGCTTTTTATTGAGCACTTTTCTGATATCAGTGTTGACCTGGAACAAGTGAAACAGTGATAGGTTTATTCAATCATAGATGGTTATGTCAGCTTTGTATCTGTTGTCTGAAATTTCAAAAAGCACACAATTAGGTAGTCGAAGGTTGAATCATACATAATTTAAAATCGAAGCCAGTGGTTATCATGTTATGGTTTTTTACGCCTATTAAATAAACAGTAAGGTGTGTTTCTAAAAGAAATAAAATTTCTCTGCGTTTTACTCTCATTCACAAGGTTTATATATCGATAATTTTATTGTAATTATCATACTACGTTCCCTTTTCTGTTCCATCAGATGTCATCACTTTGTTTTGGGTAGTCATCTCATTTTAGTTGGATTTTACATTGACAAAACAATCTGATATTACATTTATTTTTTCGTAGTTTCTTTCCTTTGATGTATTCTTCAACTTCTATGCACCCATATTTATTCTTAGTTTTGTTCCGATTATTTTTCTGGTGACTTTTTGATTTTGCTACACTATTTATGAAGCATAAATAAAATATGTAGTGTTACTACATTGGTTCTCACAGACAAACTTGATGAGTATTTTCGGGATATACATCAATTGTCATTGTTCGATGTCCCATCGGAGCCTCGACGCCTACACTGTTACTTTAGAATATGTTGAAGTACTTTTTGTAAAAGCTATTGTGGTACGGAAATATTTGACAAAGAACAAGTATACTCCACTTCAAGTGTTATTGTTTCTCTAAGGATATTAAAAGATATTAATTCATAAAATTGATAAACTTTTGTTCTTAATTGATTACGTTGAAGTTTAAGCTTCTTGGCTGTAAGATGCTTGAGATACAAGAGATCGATCATTAAAGATATACTTGGCTAACATGACTTAAAGTCAATGACAGTGATGGATATGCATGTTTTTTTTTAAAGATATTTTTCATTAGGAGGTATATTAAGATTATCCACTGTAAAGATAGTTTCCATCCTAGACTAATGAGTACTAACTAACTGACAATCCTGTCAGCGATCAAACTTAAAATATTCCAGTCTCGTATTCAACACGTTACTTATTGACTGTTGAATTGGTTAACTATTTAACAGTCCATGATTCCAAAATCAGCCATTTTTCATCAAAGCTTTGAACATCAGTTATCACTGCTTAAAATTTATTTGTTTCCAAGATATTTGATATTCTACTAATTCGTGGCCATTGTAGTTCTTTCCATTTTGTATCGACCATGATAGTTCGATGTGTGACAATGTTATTGTAGTTACGATATATATTTGTATTTTTCTTTATTTTCCTTGATTAATTTTAGTCTTATGTGAATCCTTAGGTTCATAGATGTAGACGGTCGTCTTCACTTAAATATTGGGAAATGTAATGAATTAATATATGTTCCATTATTTATCGATTTTTTTTCTTCATTCGCATTCCTTTTAAAACAATTTCAGCCTTATTACTGAACAATGTCTATGGGTATTGTTCGATTTTTCAGTTTATATCATGAATTGACGTCAACTAAATAGATAACCAAGGAAAACTATGGAGTAACTATTTCGTCACAGTACGGGACTCTTCAGTCGTGGATATTCACTAAACATTGGACTTCTAACCTTTAGGCATATCAATGAGCGCTTAATCCTTATTCATTGAGTTAGAATTCACTGATTTACATTTCTAACTTCAATTGATTTGCGATATTATATGATCATCATCCATTGACATTGATCATACCTGTCTCAAGCCTAACATGATTTAACTCCATTGATCATAGCTTCTCTCTCTTATAAATCAAACATTTCAGTTATTATAAATTAACATTTTAAAGTTGATTTTAATTATTCTATGCTATTTACTAGTTGAATTGTATCTAACAATTTATTAGTGCTATGAATGTTGTAATAAGTAAAGAGGTGTATTTAATTATGTAATATATTTTCTGTAACTCAATTGGCTAGATTGTCAAATTGTAACTTTATATAAATATACAAGACCCGACAGAAGTTGCTTTCAGTTAATTCAAAGTTACAATACAGATTAGAATTGTAAAATCATACGCATACTATATGTTGTTCTACTAAACAAGTATTAAGTTTTTTTTTTAAAGAGATATGTTAACTTCAATGAATTCTCAGTCAGTCAGTCAGTCAGTAATAACGTAGAACTTCGTACGTACGTACATCAGTTGGAGTTGCCATACCACATTAGCACGGAGATGCAGGTGTCGATTCAAATCCCGTAGTAGTAGAGGTAGTAAGAGTATAAGCAGTAATCGGGAAGATTAGGGTCTAAAGATGTTATCTAAGGAGTATAATACAGTGAAGTAAATTTGGAAAGAGAAAACAGAGACAAAGAGGAATCAGGAGATTAAAATTTGGGAGAACACAAAGAGTGTATGCACCTGAGCCATTGCAAACGATTTTGAGCCATGTCATTCAGGGTCTCTAACCATCGGTTGCTATCATCTCGCGGTCCCTAACCAGGTAGTCTACACCTACTAACATGACTCAGTTCATTTGTCAATGACTTTATGGACTTGTGCCATGTTTTGGTCTGGCCGCCTTAATGAATTCTAAAAGAGATCATCAGTTCTCATTTATTTTTTAGTTGTTTGCAGATACATTTGAACTGAAAAATGGGGAAAAAAACTGACTGAAATCTTGGTTTGATAGATTAAAAAGTGTATATATTTATGTTGATAATGATAATGATGATGATATGGGGAATATTTAATCAATAAAATATTGTGTCATATGATCTAGAAACAGAAATATAAACAAAATGGGAAAGAAAACGTTGACTTTTAAAAGTTCCAATTAATTTAAATCTATAGGGAAACTATTCGTGCTACTGTTGTTGTTGTGTTATTTTTCATTGTCTAAATTGAAATGATTTTAAACAGATCTAGCAAATATTATAAAAACCATAAGAAAATTGGGTTTGTTTTATACAAAGCTACAGACTATTACGAATCTATTCTATATACCAAATATCTCTCTTTTTAAAGTGTATTTTATAAAAGTCTCTTTGACCCCCCCCTCCCTTGATCAATTAATTCACTTTAATGATCTTTAATGTGACATCTACATAAAATTTGGAAGCAAATATAAAAATAATTGAGAAAGTGTTAAATAATTAACATTTCAGTTTTGATGATATGACGGTAATCAGAGGAGTACAATGTGTAAATGTATTTACATGGGTGAAAAAAAATCATTCATATGTTCTGTTACCGTATTTTCACTGCTATTTTTGTCTAACATCGAGTCACAATATAAATTTCTGACATTTTGTGCCCTGATGTTTAACTCACTTCAATTTTCAAAACCAGTATTTTCAGAATGAAGATTTATGAAGATTGTAGTAATTTTAATAGTTAAATTTATGAATTGATCTAAGCTAGACTACCATTGAATAACTGAAAGCACTGGACGGCCGTCTTGTCCTAGTACGGGACTCCTCAACAGTGCACATCTACGATCGCTCATATGCGACACGAACACTTAACTTCTAGACCACTGAGCTATCATCCAATGGTGTTAATATCTAACTTGAATCGATCCATAATCTTGCGCAACCCTCCATCTATTGTCTGAGGTGGATAACTATTTCCACCCAATACAAAGGTAGTCTAGTTTAGATCGACTCATGAATTCAACTATAAAATTCAGTACCTACT